TAGACTCCAAGACCTATACAACCCAATGTAACCTAATATTTCCTTGTTCTTTTTTGTTTTTGTTAATGTAACTATCACTTAAATATGTTTTTTTTACTGAAAATAATCGAAATACAAAAAGAAACAAATACTTTGGATCTATTTTGATATGTGTGTTACTACTAAATATTAGATGTCAAATTATCTGAGATTTTTATTTGAAAGAATAAAATGCGTCATATTGTAAATCTAAAAGTAGACTGTATCAGCTTAGTAAGCACGCTAAGATTGACAAGTATCATTTTCTATTTCATCTTTCACTACATCAAAACAAAACAACAAAAAATAGTATAAAACAAGATAATTACTTGATTATATTTTGATGTTAATAAAATCGATTCATCATAATTTCTTCCTAGAACTCGAATAATAGATGAAACTGGAATAATAATAGGAGATGTTGTTGATGGTATCATAATTAAATCTGAAATACATAACATCAATTAGCAGTATATATGCATATAAAGCAAGCAAGCAAATTCGAAAAAAAAAATTCAAAAATCGAGCTAAACAATTTGTAATACATTGGACGGGATGTACATATATACATATAAAGATAGCTAGAGCACAAAAAAAAACACATGCATCAGTCATGATAATCATTCATTTGTTTTTTTTTTTCTTCCAGACGGGCGGCAAATGAAAATTGATCTGACCGTAAAAATTCTTATTGACCACCAGTAGATGCTTTATTAGTCGTCACAATAACAGTGACAATAACGGCCACAATAACCAAAATTAATAAAACAATAGTAAATGTACAAAGAAATTTTCGTCTATTACATTGTTGATAACATCTTTCAGCCTAAATAACAAAAAAAAAAATATGCATATGTGTATATACATGAATATTATTATTCATTGTAAACAATATCAAAGAAAACAAATAACCTTGACGAGTAATAAAGAAAAGCAAATGAATAATACAATTACCTTATTTTTTTTATTTGTGATATATTCGTAGAAAAATATAAAAACATAATAAACACAAGCATATCACTCACTCAATCTACATGCAACAATATCGAAACAATATCTAATAGTTATAACAACAACGAATAAAATGACATACTGATGTTGAAGATTCTTCACTAAAATAATCACGAAGTGTATAACGATTTGCTTGATATCTTCTAGAATTATTATCAATTGTTATTTCATTAGTATATTTATGCATATTTTCAACTTAAAAAAAAATATAAAAGAAAAAACGAAATTCAAATATTTCAGAAATAAGATTTTTAAAAGTTTTATATAAACCGAATTCTTTTGAATATGAAGTAGCTTGAGTTCGTAATTGATAGACATCAATTTTTTCAATTTCATCTCGAAGTAATTGAACAACTTGAATTTGACTAAACAAATATTGATCAATTATTTTTTTTTTACAAAAAAAAAAGGAATTTTCTTTCTTTTTTTTTTTTATAGTTTTACTTTAATAATTCAATATATCGATTTGTTTCATTTTCTTCAGCTTCATGATTTTCATATGAAACTTCATCAGCATTGATTGTTGAATCTTCAAAACCCAAATTAACAACATTTGTACGATCTTAAAAAATTGAAGAAAATACTTATTTAAGTAAATATATATATATGTGTATATTTACCTCCAGTAGCTATTGGAAAATATACAAGTAGAATTGAGAATTTATGAAGTAAGTTTTCATAATAATTTAAAGAAGCCAATGTAAAACATACACATTTTTCAAAACGATTCATTGCTAATTCTCTTTTTGCTCTTAGAAAAAAAAAACAATAAATATCATAAAACATTGAGTTTGATTATTTATTTTTGAAAATAATTATGCATATCTATGGTTTCATCTTATTTCTTTTTTATATTCTATTCGTTGAATAAACTTACGAAGTTGATGCTACTGTCGCTGCTTTTCGTACAAGTTCTCGTTGATGATAAAAACTACGATTAATACGTTCTTTAAGTTTTTGAATTTTATTTCGTAGTTTAGTTGTATCACATGATGTGCCGATATAATATATATATTGTCTAAATTTTCCTACATCTTTCATACAATCATGTAATGCCTAAAAATAATGAAAAAACAAATCGAAATTAATGAATGTCATTCAGAATTTTATATAGAAGATAATTCTACTTTAAATATTTCTCCATCATCAATTACAGTAGTTGTAGCTGTTGTAATTCCTGCTGAAGGTTGCCTTGATGTTGGGATTACATCAATTGGTCTCATCGATACAACCGCTGAATCGACAGCACCGCCCGTTGAGGGCATTGTTTTCTTTTTTTCGAAATGTCAAATCCTTTATTCTTCCTTTTATTTTTCTTCTTTTTTTTTCTTATCTATTCAGAAACTTAAAAAGACTTGGATATATCAAGAAGAAGAAAAAAAGACGATGAGAAAAAAATTATATAGAACAGATAAATTTCTCTATCGCTACTTGCAAAAATACATATAACAGTGAATGTAGTGCTTGAATTGATTAATTTTTATTTTATTAAAAATGAATTAATATTCATATTAAAAATTATTTCAAAAGAAATTAAAAATTTTAAATTATAATTTTTATTTTATCTATAGATGACGTTATATGACAATAAGAATAATATTAAAATTTTAATTAAATGAACACTTCAATTTCTTTCATCTTCATCTGACATGACACGCACTCATATATTTGATTATATTGATTACAACAGTACTGACAAGAAAACTGAGATATTATCCAGAATTTACAATAAAAGAAAAAAAACAAAAGTATAACTACCTACGCAAGTTATATTTGTCAAGATTATTGTTTTGAATAATTTTAATTTATTTAAATTTTTGTTCTTTTTTACATGATTTAATTAATTCAATAAATTATTTCAGTTTAAAATATTGCTATTAAAAAGAAAACAAAAAAGAAAAAGAAACGAATAGAAAAAGCAGGAATAAACGTTAGTATTTCATTAAAACAATTATAACAAGTCAATTTTATCATAGATATATGTTCAAACATAACTCTGAGGCAAAAGAAAACGTACAAAAAACAAATTTTTTTATGAAGGTGTTTGAGTCATAATCGTTTCATTATTTTTATTATAATTTGTATTCGTTGGTGTATTAAATCTTGAACGATTGGAATATATTGATGTTGTCATTTGTGATTGTTTACGTTGTGCTAAAAGAGTTGATTCAAGTTTTGTAAAACGTTGAAATGCTTCATTAATTAATTTTAATGATTCTAATCGTGTTGAATTTGATAATGGTTGATAAAAATCATTTCCTCTTATTAATTGTGAATCATTAGACATTGAAAAAGTTCGACTCGAATCTTTCATTGTGGATAATATTGGATGTTTAGAAGTGGAAATATTCGTTTTTTGATCATGTAAAAGATTACCACTTAATGAATCTAAAAATTAAAATTATTTTTATTTCATCAAATTAATAATAGACTTGAAAAAAGGATTATATTAATTTATTTTTATTTTTTATCATAAACATATATATTAATGACTTTTGACTATAAATAAAGATATTTCTTATTTCTATTTTATGTTCAAATAATATTGAACAAATAAAAACAACCATATTTGACAAATATATTCATAAGATAATAAGTAAATTTTCATTGGAGCTGTACTTTTTTTTTTTTTTTCATTTATCAAAATAATGTTAGAAAATTATTGGTGCCAGAAACTAATGATAAACATGTGCATGATTAGAGATTTAATCTAGCATATTGACTGTTGGGAAGGTATTTCCTGAAAGATTAACTTTACTCTTCCGCTGCTTGTGTTTTACATATTCCGGAATAAAAGTACTTTTTTTTGTCATGTTATCAAAACAGTTAGCTATTTATAAATGACTAATTTCCTCTTTTTTGGTTCTCTTAAAATAAAAAAGATTTGCAAATTCATTCTAATTTACCTTGTCGAACATTAGAATCACGTGTTGTCGTGCTATTTGTAGCTGCTGCTTCAGATAAAATACTTTTCATTCGATTACTATTAACAATTGGTGTTTCACTAGAATTAATTGTTTTTTCTTTATTTGTTTTGTGTAATACATCAAGTTCTTCACGTAATTCTCGAGTTTCATCACGTAATCGTTGTACAGTTTCAGTTAACTGTAAAGAAAAATGAAAACAAGTTCGAAATCGATGTAATAAAATTTTTTTTTTGTAAAACCTGTTCTTTTTCATCAAGTTCATTTTCTAATAAAGCATTTTGTTCTAATGCTCGATTAAGTTTTGTTTCGAATGTTGATAAACTATCAAGTAATGTTCTTTTACCTATGATGAAATAAATAAATTTCATCAATGAAAACAAAACCAAAACAATATATTATTATACTTCTTTCAAGATCATCATTTGTTTGTTCTAATTCTCGTATATAATGTGTTAATTTTTCATTTAAATTTTTACATGAATTTAATTCTTCTTGTATTTTATCAAAACGTTGATCAAATTGTTTTATAGTTTGTTCACTACGTTCACGATATTGTTCATTTTGTGTACGTTCAAGAAATAAATCTTGTTGTAAACGACGTGCTTGATTATCTAATTGTTGTAATTGTACTTCTAATTCTTGTTCATAATTTAATGATGATTGTTGATATTCATCAAATTCATTTTCTAAACGTTCAAAACGTGTACGATATTCAATATAACGTTCGAAAGCTTCTTCAAATGTTGTTGGTTCGTTATTGTTTGACATTTAGAAATCAATTAAAATCTTAAACTATATATTTGAATAACCAAAATATATAGCAATATATAGATATGTCTAATGTCTTCTATTATTGCTGAATATAGAAATAGACAAGTAGAATCATAAGTTATACAATAAGATAATATCTCTAACGATATACAACAATATGTCAAAATTACAAAATGAAAAAAAAACAAAGAAGAAATCAATTGAAAGTCATAATAGGTAGAGAAAAATGCAAGAATTCGAGAAAAAAAAACAAACGAAAAAGTTTTGATATGTTTAATGGGTACGATCAGGTGTCGGAGCTATTGGTACTTCAATTCGAAAACAATGTATATCTAAAGCATCGCATAATTCTTGGCATACTTTTATATTATACCGAAGTAAATCATATAAATTATAAATCTAAATAGAAACAAAAAAAAAAATAGTATAACAAAATAATTTGATACATTTGTTCAATATGATTTCAATTTGAGATCATCAATATTTCTAATTAATTAAATCCAAAAAAAGAAAAATCTTATATTATTTACAGAATTGAACAATGATGAATAGAAAGCAAATGATTAATAATTGAAATTCTTAGAGACCCAAAGAAGTCATAAATATTTTAAATCACACCTAGATAAAATATACGTAGAGCTAAGTTTTCTGATTAGGGAAGTCTTACAACTTATAAGTTACTTTTAACTTGAGATTATTAAGATCCAAATGAGCTATGAACATCTTGAAAAAAGTTTGTGACATGATCATATTACTACCAAGATACTGTATTTTTACAGTAGTTTGTAAATGAATGCCGTGGTCGTTCTCAGAGACGACAAAAACAAAAGAACTTATTTTCGAATTTCGACTTGAAATGTTGCATGAAGACAGGTATTAGCAAAAAAATAGTTTATTGTAAAAGTTTCAGGTCTTTTGATTTGCTTCTATTCTGAAATAAGAACATCAAATCTATCGGATTATATGAGCGATGTAAAAGACACCCTATTACCATAGTTTTATCTTAGAATAGAAACAGCAATAAGATCTGAAACATGCATTAAAATATATTTTCTTTAAAGCTTGTCTCTATGCAAAAATTTCAAGTCAAAATTCCAAAATAGAATTGTTCTGGTGTTTCTCAGAAAGACTATGGTGTTCATTTGAAAAATAGATCGTAAAAATGCAATATTTCCATAACAATAACCTAAGGACATGAATCCTTTTCAAGATATTCATATGACATTAGAGTCTACATAATGAATATAGTTTTTAGTCAAAAGTAATTTATCAGTTGGAAGACTTCATTCGTGAATCAAAATATCAGTGCAAATATTCTATATTGTCTTTTCATAGTAGTAGAAAAATTCGTCAAATTTCTCAGAAACAATAACACTAATGCCATTATATTCTTGAGTCTCACTTCTAATACTCCAACAGTAGGAATATATCTAATTTTACTAAATTCTTCACATGTCTCGATACAACACATCATCGAATAGACTATCCAAGTCTTTGTTAAACTTAACGTATTCATTCGTAATCTGCTTATATTCGGACTAATATTCATTCCAGAATTAAAGAAGGCTGAGTGTAATGTCAATAATCCGACAATAACAACAACTAGTAACTTGTAGTTTTCAGAAATCAAAAGAGAAGAACTCTGGAATTTTTTGTCTGATACTATATAGGACAAAATCATTTTAAAACCTATTATATTCATAAAAAAATTTCTACAATGGTGTTCCGTGTTAAGATAATTTGATAACAATCAACACGATTCTATAGAATTGAACCGAATAGATACACAATTTTTATTTGCTTAATGTTGAGATTTTAGAAGAAAATCGTTTGAATCATGCCTTAAACTATAAATCTAAAGTACATGACAAAACTAAATCTACATCGAAATGGAACACCTTTTTTTTTGCATGTATTTTTTTTTAGAAGAGAATATATTTTAAAATAATTTTTTTCTTATATACTATTAGACGAAAAAAAATTATGAGGAGTTCTTCTCTTTCGATTGTTGAAAACTGTAGGTTACTAGTTATTGGCATTGTCGAATTGTTGAAATTACACTCATACCTTTATTTTATTCTGATGTAGATATTAATTTCATTGACATTCTTATTTTATATATGATACTTGAACTTCAAATACAAAAATCAAGAATAGATGTTAATAATTAATGTTTGTTTCAATTTTTAATTAAAGACAAATATGTCGTGTAAAAAGTGAAAATTTTAATCGTCAATTAACTTACGAGAAAAATCCATAAAAAGATTTCTTCTTTTATAAAACAATTGAAATATTGATTGACACAAACAGCTACAGGTCCATAATAAGCTGTATCCCATGTATCAAGTGGACTTTTTGACATATGAGCTATCTATTATAGAAAAACACAAACAATAAATGAATTCCAAATTAAATACTAAAGACACAAAAAAGCAAAAAAAAAAAATTTGTTCCTAACTATTAATCGATTTGTAATTTTTGAAAATACAATACCATAACAAGTTAAATGAAGTGCTGTATGTTCTTGAAGTGAATGTGATATTGAATAATTAGAAGCAATATAAGCAAGAAATATAAGAAAAGCAATAGGCCATATAGGAAAAATAATACTTGTACCCTTTATTTAAAATAAAAGAATATATTCAAATAAATATTTAATTAGAAGCTAAAAAATAACTAGAATTGATATTTACAGCAACCGATGAAAAATTTCTTCCACATCCACCTTTTGAAATTGTACGAATATTATTAGCTGCACTCCATACTGATGAACATAAAGCTAATAATCCAGCAAATACACTAGATGGAATATTTATCATGGGTACCTTTTCAAAGTCAAATATAATTATTAGATTCATTTTTTTTTTATTTTGATTATACAAACCGTTGTAGACCAAAATTTAGGTGTTATAGTACTTATCAAATAAATAACTATAAATGACCATTGAGCTTCAGTACAATCAAGTCTAAAATAAAAAATTAAAATAATTTCAAAAATATTATATTGAAAACTTACATTCCAAATCTAAGTTTTCCTGAAACATATGTTTGCCAATGAGCACAATAAAAAGCAATATAAGAAGACATACAACACCAAAACATAACCCATGGATAAAGTCCAAGTTGTACAGCACAACAACCTGCAAGTGTGACAAATACTAAAATAAATATGAAAATAAACATAATATTGGCTTCTGATTAAGAATATAAAGTCACCAGCGGAAACTGAATCACAACCATGATCAAAAAGTTCGCCTAAGGGTGTTGAAGAATTGGTACGACGAGCTTGTTTACCATCAATAGCATCAAGTGATTGATATATAAAAAGACCAAGTGCCGTAAAAAAGTACATCCATCGTGTACACTTAATAAAATATAGTTTATTTTTTAATAGTAATTTTTCAAACAAAAAAAAAACTTATTCACTGGTTCTTTTGCACCATTTGTTAAATACATTAGTAAAACACTAGTACCAATATTTATTATTAAACCAACAATAGTAATAAGATTTGGTGCGACCCATAATGGACAATATTCAACAAGTCTTTTCCAAAATTTTTGCATTAATGGATCAAGTAAAGTTGTTCCTTCTGAAGCATATTTATGCTCTTTTAAACGTCTTATTTGTTGTTCAGTTAATACATCAGGTAAACATTGAAGAGCTCTTCTTGTACTTTCTTCTAAATGATGAGTTCGTTCTGTGATTTGTCTTACATTATCATGCAAGACAGACGTTGGATTTCTACCTGTATTGAGATCCGCAGACATTCTTAAAAAAATATCTAAAATAATGTAGAATAAAGTAATATATACTGTGTATGATATGCTTCAATGATCAGAATGTGTGTATTCTGCGTGAAAAACAAAAATCTATACTCAAATATAATATTTTGGTTTGGGTCATTCGTTTTATAATTACGCATATCAATATATATATATGAGTCTTTACATTCTTTAAATAACAACAAGCTGATAAAACTTATGAAAACAGAAATACACACACAAGAAATAAAAAGTCCTACCTGTAGTATACAAACATACAATAAGTAAGAGAAAGACAAAAAGAAAAAAATCCTCAGTCATGCGCATGATGCGTTCAAGGTTAGTCATTAACCCTGTTTCATAAATAGGTAATGCGTATCTCCATGCATTTATCTGATAATGAAAAAAAGACAATTCTCTCAATAATAAAAGTCCTCCACTCGCTTCAGTGAATTCTCATTATAATCACACAAGCTTTTTTATCAGGAAAAAAATCAAAGCATTTTCACTCTCAATATAATTGAATTATATTATTGCAATTTTGTGTCTTGTACTTCACGTAAATATCAATTTATACAAAGTAGAACAAGCAATAAAAAACAAGTTGCATATCATAGAATATAGGATTTATTTCAATCAGTTATTCTTTGTTCTTGTTTTCTTAGTTCAATATCAAACATTTAATAAATTCATTGAAGAATTTACAGAAGATAAATTTAATTTTTGTCTTATTCTATATGGAATCATTTGATAAAAATCCTCTATTGAATAGATATGTGTCCAATCAATATTAATTGGTCTATACCAGAGTATACGTTGATTAATTAAATCTACTAAATTTTGTATCCATCCTAATGAAAATGGACTATAATTTTTTAATTTAAGATGTTTATAACGCCATGAATTAAGTTTTTCATTTGTTGTATAACCAGTTGCAGTCTTAAATAAATAAAAATAAATAAAAATTTATAAGTAAAAAATTTTCTTTTACCTGAAAAAGAATTGTTATACAAAGACTAGTAATCCAAATTATATGTAGAAGAGCAATTAATGTAAACCAAACAACAGCTGGTGAACAATATAATATTTGTTTCAGACTATCAATAACTGTACCAGATGAAAATACATGACAATGATAATAATAATCTAAATGTAATTCATATTTTTTTTTTAATTTTTGTTTTTAAAATATAAAATTATCTGTAGAACTTACAAATATATGCACCATGAAGATAAAAACCCAGACATAATGGTGTAAAAAATATAAAACCAATAAAACATCGCAAATTTTTCTCACCAACACAATTATCAATCCACTGAAAGAAATCGAAAAAAAATAAAATTCTCTTTGTTATTCTTATATTTGCATTGTATACATAGTAGATTAGATAATTATTATTTCAAAGAATAACATATTAGATTTGTTATTTAATTTATTTATTTCATTTAGTGCATTAATATATATATACATATTACATAATAAATTTGATAGAAAAAAAATCATTCCATCTTTTATCTTTTTTAAACAATTTTAAAATGATCCTTTCATCTTTTATTAAAATATTAGATGAATAGATGTTATTAAAGAAAATTATAATAATAATATTTACTCAGCTATAAAAGTAGAATATTTATATGCATTAAATTTTCTCATATTTTCTTTATATGAGTTATTGATTTATCATTTCTTATTAGATAACAAGACTAAAATATATGACAACACCATCAAATATTAAATATTTATAAAAGATTTCAAAATAATCAGTAAGAAAATAAATTTATACTTTTCTTCATTACATATTTACAACATATGTCAAATTAAAAGTGACATATTATTTTAATAAATTATTACGCAGATGATATCGTTATAGCTTTCAATGCTAATTTGAGGGGAAAATTTCGTAGATAATAAAAAAATATATTAAAAATTTTAAGGCTGACTTCATTTTTTTTTCGAAAATCAAAAGAATGAAAGTGAATTAATTTTCATTTCTAATCACCATAATCAGTTTTTTAAGTACTGATACAGCTCATATATATGTTGCTCTTATCAAATCATAGATCAATGATAATTAGTATGCATCAATAAATTTGACCTATTCTGAAATGAGAAACGCTAAATATGCATCAATCATCTCATAACGTTTAAACTGACTACTTCATTACATCCATTAAATACTTTCATAATTTTTTTTTAAAAACTTTTACTTAAATAAATATTCTTACCGGACAATGATGATCAAATTTTGAAATACATCTATGACATTCTCGACAATGTTTTGATCTAATTGGTCGTCTTACGAGACATGATGTACAAAAAGTTTCATAATCAAATAAATTTTGTTCAATTAAATAAATAATAATCTATAAGAGAAATACAATTGTTTTTTTTTCTTTTTACTATTACATCTCTATTTTATTTTTCAAATATATTCATTCATACTCTATATTGTTGTTCACGATTATTATTAAAAATAATACCAGGATCATTTTTTATTGCTAAATAATAATTTTTCCATGAAAAATAAGTGCAAATAATAAGACAAAAAAAATTCAATGATATTATATGTACATCTAAATATAGGAAAAGAAAAATTTTTAATAATAAAGAATATTTAAATTTCTAATTTACATTCAAGAAAATAAAATAAATAACTAATATAAAGCCAAAATATCGATGCTTGAGCTATAGCAATCGGTAAATATCGATCAACATTATCATCAAAAAATATCCTAAAATATGAAATACAAAACAAAAAAAAAAAAACATTGATTTAATAATTGTTTTTTTTTTTTTTCTCCGAAAAATTTCTTACATAATATATCCTTTTGTTAATAAAATTAATGCAAGAATAAGAATACCTTTATAAATTAATGAAAAATTAAATTGAAATATACATGCAACAATAATTATTATAAAATAAGGTAAAAATTTTGTTCCTAAACGTCGATATAAACTATTAAATTGTAACCATTTTGGTAAATCATGCTTTGGAAATCGATATGATGATAAAAGTGAAATTAAATAATGATTTTTTGGCTGTTTTATTACTAATTCATATGCATCTTCATTCTAAAAACATTCAAAAAAGAAGATTTATATTTAAAATGAATCAAAAAGTATTTTAAAACATATACATCACAATTACGTATGTCAGTTTTAGCACCAGCATCAAGAAGAATTCGAATAGCTTCAATATTTGATTGAATAATAGCATAATGAAGTGATGTATATTTATTAATTGGATTTTGAAAATTTATTTGTGCACCAAGTCTAAATATTTTTATTTCTTCTACTTTCAAAGATTTATTACAAAATTATTAATTTACCGAACAAGTAATTGAGTTGGTTCTCGATTTCTTACTCTTCTAACAGCATGCATTAATGGTGTCATACCATGTTTATCAAGTAAATCAATATCTTGTCCTTTAGCAATTAAATATGCAACAATATCAGTATGACCAAATATACTAGCAAGATGTATTGATGAAAAACCTATTTTAAAAGAAAATTTTTTTTGTTTTGGAAAACAAAAACAAAGATATTCGTTTTTCATATTTTTAATTTTTACCTTCACCATCAAATAATTCTGCTTGTGCATTATATGATAAAAGAAAAACGACCATTTGAAGTTTACCATCACGTATAGCCCAATGTAATGGTGTTGAATTAAGTTCACCACCAATAGCATCGATTTGTGCATGTTTATCTAATAAATATTTTGCTATATCAATACGATTATTAATAGCTGCCCAATGAAGTAATGTTATATTATCATTTACTGGTGTTATAGCAAGTTTTGGTTCATGTTCAATTAATTCAACAACACGATCATAATAACCATATTGAACAGCACTAATTAAAATAAATAAATTTATTTATTTATTTTCAAAAAAAAATAAATTTTATAACATACGAAACTAAATCAGCTGTATGAGGATCAGGAGCTGGTGGATCAATAATCATTGTTGAACGTTCAACAGGATATGGTGGTGGTTTATTAGTACCACCGTTTGTTAGATTTGACTGAAAATAAAATAAGAATGAATATATATATATGTTAAATGTATTTTACTTCAATTGACTTCATATCACCACAGGTAATCTTGTCATTTTAACATTTCTGTTTGCTTATTCTGTTATTATTTCGAATGAAATATATAGAATGAATAAGTAAGAGAAACTAAATTAGTTTTTAAAATGTTTTTCTTTTTTCTCATATGAATAATAAATGCATAAAATTGTGATAATGATAGATTGAAAGAATTTTTTCTTTTATAATACTTTAAGATAATAGAAAAACTATATGAATCGGAAAAGGTGCAAATAGATTAGATCATATTATTTCTTATTCGTGCAAACACTATTTCGAAGTACTAAAAGAGGACGCTGGTGTAGTAAAAGATATAGTTAGATGTAATATGATTCGTTTATATTAAATATCTTATGTAGATAGCTAGCTAACCAGTCAACTAGCTATTCACATCATGATAGTCGAATTGATAAATAAAATTATCAAATATCTAATACTATTGAAATCCATGATACATCAAGTCACATTGAATTTACAGAAAAGTCTACATATGAAGATGTAGAAAATGTCAATGAAAAACTTTGAAATAAAACAAACATTTTAAAGAGATTATAGTAATTAATCAGTGACAAGTATACAAAAAATGGTTATAACAAATATCTAAAATTTGATTATAACTGATTATATATATTATTATTTCTTGTGAATTTCTGCCATATATTTTATTTAATTATATATTTCTCATTCTTAGTATACAAAACTGATTGCAGACATAGAATGTATGTTCATTTATTCTGTTACTTATTTATAAAAATGATCAATCAATAGAACAATCAATCAGTTTAAAATTGAATATGTCAATTTGATTGACAACAATACTATAATTAGTATATTCAAAAATATATACATCATTACTCGATGTGTTTGTCTCTGAGAAAAATATCTGAGTTGAAATAATTCTATTTAAAAGAT